GGAGAATAATCCTGATTCTGTGGCATTTTAAGTGTTTCTAGAGCTTGGACTGTTTAAATTCTCAGCCATCACTGACAGAAAAGCCGTCTACTGTGTTGAGAACCAGACTCCTGGGACGCAAGTTCTCTTATGAGGAAACTTTACCTAGAATGTATCCACCCATTGAGAAAACCAGAACATGTGGGTGCTCACTCCTCTAGGAAAGGCAAAAAAGCATGGTAATATCTTTAATATCTCTGATATTTCCCAATTATTCTTCTTGGAAATTTCTCTGTGCTTGTGTTTTCTCCTGACTAGTAATGTTATCAGAATGTTAACAGAATGTTGACTCAGAAACTGATCATCTACTCCAGCTTTTCTGTTCTCTCTCTCTCTCATTATTTTTTGCTGTGGTAAACATATATGAAATAAAACATTTGTCATTTCTATTTCTGCACATGTACAATTCAGTGACTTTATTGTGCTATCTGTTCTCTTCTCCACCTATACCTTCTGCCACTAAATCATCCATTCAATTTATACTAGAACTGAGGCTCCTGCTCCACCCATCCTTCTTCTTAGAGTTGGAGACTCTTCCCCTGAATGAGATCCTGCTGTCTCTTTTACCCTAGATGCCGTGTCTCATCTGCCTTAACCAGTTTTTCAGAATGATCTTTTTCCCCCTGCCTAACACTGTGTCACCTTACAGTCTGACCATACATTCTTCCATTTTTCTGGATCCCAAAAAGATTCAGAAAGTTTAGATCTGGAATGAAATGAGGAGATCAGTGATTCACATCGGACTGTTGGAACTATTTTTATCACTACTTCCCCAGAAATCTAGTTATGAGAACAGTCATGAAGTTTGTCTGTTAATTAACCATCCTCAGATTTAGTAACCACTGAGACAACGTGAATGGTGCGAGGGAGCAGCTCTCAGAACAATTCCAAGAGAATGAAGTTGATCTTTGATCCCTTTCTACTTCCAGCACTGATATCCTCCTCTTTGATTCTGATTTTTCCCCATGCACCTGTTATTGTCACGGTTAGGTGCAGTCGAGTTGATTCTGACTCGCGGTGATCTTTTGCACTGCCCGGTCCTGTGCCCTCCTCACAATTGTTGTTACATTTGAGCCCATTGCTGCTACCAGTGTGTCAGTCCATCTCGTTAGAGACTTTTCTCTTTTTCAATGATCCTCCAGAAATTGAGCCCACCTGATAACATGTCTGAAGTATACGAGATGAAGTCTGGCTATCCTAGCTTCTAAAGAGTATTCTTTAGAAAACTTCTGCACTTCTGCTAACACAGTTGTGTTTGTTTTTCTGGCAATCCATGGTACTTTCAATATTCCTCTTCAACACCACAGTAAACATGCATCGATTCTTCTACTGCCCATCCTATTCACTGTTCAACTCTCATACGCAAGGAGACATTGAAAATACCATGGCTGTGGTCAGACACACCTTAGTCCTCAAACTGACATCTTGACACTTGAACACTTTAAAGAGATCTTGTGCAGCAAATCTGCTTAATGCAATATGACATTTGATGTTTTGACTGCTGCTTCCATGAATGTTTATTGTGGATCCAGGCAAAATGAAGTCCTTAACAACTTCAATCTTTTCTCTATTTATCATGATGTTATCTATTGGTTCAATTGTGAGGATTTGTTTTGAGGTTGTTATGAGATTCAACTCATAATGAAGGTTGTATTATTTCATCTTCATCAGTAAGTATTTCAAGTCTTCTTGAAGGTTGTTAATGAATATTTCTCAAATCTTTATGCCACGTTCTTCTTCATATAACCCAGCCTCTTGAATTATTTGCTCCTCATACAAATTGAACAGTATAGTGGAAGGACACAACTCTGATGCACACCCCTCCTGATTTTCAACAGTTCAGTACCCCCTTGTTCTGTTCTAAAAACTGCCTCTTGGTCTATGTACATACAAGCTTCTCGTGTGCATAATTAAGAGTTCTGGAATACCCATTTTTGGCAATGTTGTCCTTAGTTTGTCATGATCTACATAGTATAAAGCCTTTACATAATTAATAAAGCACAAGCAAACATCTTTTTGGCAAATGTTAAATTGTTAAGAGCTGTCAAATTGCTTCCAACTCATAAAGACCCTGTGCAGGGTTTCTGAGGCTGTAAATCTTTGCAGGAGGAGAAAGCCTCATCTTTCTTCTCAGGAGCAGCTGTTGAACTGGAACCGATGACTTTGTGGTTCGCAGTTCAGTGTTATCCTACAGAACCACACACTCTGGCGCCTAGGGTCTGAATATTTCCCTCCAGCCTCCACAGCCCTTCAAGCCTCCTTGACCAGGCTGATCTTCCACATATCTCATTCAGTTATTTATTTCAGAAATATCTTGAAGCAATCATTTGTTAAGATTTGTTAAGAATTCTTCTGTTTTCTTCAAATCTTTATTCATTACTGTTAATCTTCTCCTGTCCTCACCATGTCTAAAACAGTCTCTGATAGATACATCACTAGGAATAAGGGCAATGTCTTCCACTCTAAGTAGTGGAAGAGCACTTAGATTTTTCTTCCTGGTTAATTTACCTAGGATTGAATTAAAATGCCTTTTTTTCCTTAATCATTAATAAATCTCTGACATTAATTTGAACTGCCATTTCGGTTAGTGAGGGACAATGAGTCCCTTCTTTAGTGATGCTCTCAAGGTAGCATGTTACAATGAGCTTCAGCCATCATTCACACAAAATTTGGATTTTACAGAAACAGAGGAAAAGATCCTCCAGAAATGCTCCTTTGTTCTTAAGGAGAGGCTCCAAACCCACTAAGACACTGTAGTCAATTATCTCTATCTAGTGAGTGAAAATAGACAAATGAATGCCATTTGCAGGAAGATTCTGTCCAAATATACTTGAAACTATCCAAATCCTTGAAGAGAATGGATCTAGTTTATCATTTCATGTTATTTGTATAGATTCCAGATATGATGTTTGCTTTCAACAGTATTCACAATTTTATCCATGCAGAATCCTCGAAAGTAAACTCTCCACTTGTTACTCTTCACCACCACTGAGCCTAAGTTGAAGTTTCGCAGGCACATGAATTTGAACACTTCTCTGTTTTCCACGCTCACAGGTAACCAAGACTTAGGTTTAAGATGGACTTCTGTTTGGCTGATGAGTTGTTAATAGTATCAGAATTCAAGCTTGTCTTGATGAGGAAGTATCTGGATTTAAGATGAGGCTGTAAGGCCCATGAGATTTAGAATGGAGAAGATTAGAAGTAGAAAACAGTAAGAGCAAAGGCACAGAAACAAATAGCCTGTCTGATACCAGAACAGATAAAAGACTGAAGGTAGGTTAAGAGAAGATGAGGAAAAATTCTGAAAGCCAAAGTAAAAATATATATATATAAATGATCTTTATTCCTGCGGACCTGAGATAAGAATTAAAAAGTGAAAAAAAAATGATACAACCATCCTCCCACAGCACTCTCTACTCAGCTGGGTTTAATGATTCATTGCAATGGTCACACATTAACTCAGAAACCATATTCTCAATTACTGAGTTTACTAGGGAAATCAACAAGTTACAATTCTGGGTCAGAAATGTTCAGGGACAGTTTCTTGCCATCAGAACAGCTTCTCATCTGTCATGCCCATATGCAGGCCTCTCGCTGGCCCTCGGCCTCTTATGCTGGCCTCTGCCCTGCTCTGGCAATGATTCAAAGCTCTTTCAGGGTTTCTGATAAATGCCCAAAGAATACACCACTCTACCATATGCCACAGCATAAAGGCACTTGACTCTAGCTCCCATGGCTCAGCAAACCTAGCTTCCCTAATAAAGTGCCTGGAGGCACCCCACTCTGCAAGCCAGCCTCCTGCCCAAAGTCACTCAGCTTTATTTCCTCCAAGGGCTGGGAAGCTCACCATTCTGTCTCATGTTCTGGATCTTGGTTCTGCTGCTGTTGCTCCTCTGTCATTCCTTCAGTGCCACAGCTTTCTGTCCCTGGATTGATGAGGTTCAATGCACAGAGATCTCAAGGTCCAAAGGATGAGCTCCACACTCAGCTCTTCTTATTTGATGGTAATGAGATTCCCCCTCCTGCTTCTGAGATGGCTTATTTTATACCAATGTTATTCGAGTTCCATGTTTTCACAAATTGACCTGTTAATGATCACTCCCAATTTAACCATATATTCTATCAGCAAATTCCCCGACCTTCTCTCACACAGACCCATCAGGAATAAGTTGTTTGGTGGAAATTTACAAAGACTATGGCTAGAAGAGACATTAAATAATTCACATGATTACATAAAGGGTAAAAAAAAAAAAAAATACAATGAATTAATTTCCGTATTCTACTTGTTGTCAGTATGGCATTATAAAATCTTTCTGAATATCAGATTTCACAGAAATAAAATGTGGACTAGAATCTCTGCCTGAAACACTTCCCAGATTTTGTGGAGGACAAATAGAAATAGCGTTTGAAAAGATGCTAAATATATCAAAATTCCTATTAAAATTTAAGGTGCTGTGTAGGAAGTAGAAACCCTATGTTATTTTGAGCAGAGCACAATTATTGAAAAATGAAGAGAGGAAAAAGGTTCAGAGCAATTGAGGCATGTATGTGCTAAAATGATTTTTTAAACATAATAATCTAAGATTGTTGTTGTTTTTGTTGTTGCCAAGTGCCACTGAGTTGGTTCCGACTCATAGTAATCCTGAATAGCATTTCTATTGTTGTTAATCTTTGCAGGAGCAGAAAGCCTTATTTTTCTCTAGTGGAGGGACTGATGAACTCGAACCACTAACCTTGTGGTTTGCAGTCCAGTGTTTTTACTCCAGAGATCTAAGATTAATGATTAACAAAAAATAATTTAAATTCTTACTGAAATAGTGGGGCAGTGAGATATTGAGTACTGTGTCCAGGTGGTGCAGGGATGCCTGTATGAGGCAATGGGATGATGACTTGAGGAAACAAAGCCATCAGTGGAGATCTCACCCCTCTTCCTATTTTGCTCCAAGGAAACAGCCTCTATCATGGCCTTGAGGAACCACAGCACCATCACTGAGTTTATTTTCATTGGGCTGTCTTCTGACCCCCACATTGAGACTCTGCTATTTGTACTCTTCCTGGTGATTTATCTCCTGACCACGATGGGGAACCTGATGCTGCTGCTGGTAATCAAGGCAGATTCCCGCCTCCATACTCCCATGTACTTCTTCCTGAGCAATCTGTCCTTCGTGGACCTTTGTTTCTCTTCTGTCACTCTACCCAAGCTACTGAAGGATCTCCTGTCTGAGAAGAAAACCATTTCAGTAGAGGGTTGCCTGACTCAGGTCTTCTTTGTGTTCTTCAGTTCAGGAACTGAAGCCTGCCTGCTTTCAGTGATGGCTTATGACCGCTATGCTGCCATCTGTCACCCACTGCTCTATGGCCAGGTGATGAGCAACCAACTCTGTGCAAAACTTGTGTTGGTCTCCTGGGGCCTGGCCTCTCTCAATGCAGCTGTGATTGTGCTTTTAGGTATTAATATGGACTTTTGTGAGGCCCAAACTATACACCACTTCACCTGTGAGCTGCCTGCTCTCTTCCCCTTGTCCTGCTCTGATATCTCCATCCATATCAATATTCTTCTTGGTGCCAGCTTACTGCATGGTCTTGGGACCTTCATCCCAATCTTCTTATCCTATGCCCGTATTATCGCCACCATCTTGAGCATCAGTTCCACCACAGGCAGAAGCAAGGCCTTCAACACTTGCTCCTCTCACCTTATTGCAGTGGTCCTCTTCTTTGGTTCAGGTTTTCTTTGCTATCTCATGCCTCCATCTGGTTCCTCCCTGGATTTGCTCTTATCTTTGCAGTACAGTGTGGTCACACCCCTGATGAATCCACTGATTTACAGCCTAAAAAACAAGGAAGTGAAGGCAGCTGTGAAAAAGATATTGGGAAAATATCTATAATTTGGGCATAGTGAATACAATGTTATGCCACAAAATTGAAAAGATTGTAGTTCTTTGTGTTTTCTAATTTGTCCCTACCTCCTCCCACTTGTTGTTAAGTGCATCAAGTTGATTCCGACCCATAGTGACCCTGTAGAGAGTTTCTAAGGAGCAGCTAGTGAGTTTGAGCCACCGATCTTGCAGTTCAAACAACTTTACAGTCCGATGCATTAGCCCAGGGCACCACACCAGGATTCCTCCTACTACCCAGGGTAAAATAAGGTGAATGCCAAATTCTTGAGCTTGCCTAAACACAAGTCTTTTTGTTCTAAAGTAGAGGCTCCTGATTTTGGCCACTTGATTTCTCAAAGTCTGTCAGTCTTACACAAAATAGAGCAATGTAACAATAAAATAATTAGAATAGATATATGATGATCATTTCATAAGAGTAGGCATCTAACTTTAGGAGTCCCTAAAAGAAAGAAATTGAAAATCAAAGGAGGGATTTATTATAGGTGAAGCGAAATAGTGAAAGCCTTTGGCTACTAACCTAAGGGTTCAAACTCATCAGTTCAGTGAGAGAAAACAGCTGATATCTACTTGTATGAAAATTAGAGCCTAGGAAACCTTCTGGGGCAGTTCTAATCTGTCATAGTTTCCTGAGTTGGAACTGACTCAACACGAAAGGGTTTATGTTAACTCTCATCTACTTATAATGTTTTTTAAAAATAAAACTTGGGTTAAAAAATGCTATGTCAACAAAATTGCATGTAAAATAGTATTAAAATGGGAACACCAGAAACTAAACTAATAAAATACTACCAGTGCAATAGTCAAAATAAAAGTCCTATCCTTAAATACATTAATAAACAAGAAAATGTGCATGTTTATTAGTACCCAAATCCAAGAAAGATAAAGTCTACTGTAAGAAAAGACAGATAAATGAAATATTTAAACAAAAATATAAATTAATGGGTTTGGAAAATGGATTAAACAAAATCAAGGAATAAATCTAGACTGCAGTGATTTTAAAAGGCCACAAAAAGTTGACATAACTCTGTAGAATATAGGCAATAAAAAAAGAAAACTATTTATAAATAGCACAGATAGCAAGGAGAAAAATTATAAGAAAAAGCTAAAACTTTACAGCAATTATCTTGTGTGGCAGGATTTTGTTTAATTTTCAAGGAAAATTTAACCAAATGAAAATGAGACATTAGATGTGTAAAAAAACAAAAACAAAAAATCTATATAGTATGGAAAAATTGTCTTCAAAAGAGCCACAGGCCCAGATGGCTTTTACTTAATATATTCCAAACTTTATCGTTAAAAATAATCCCATGTTTTATGCATTTTTCTTGAGTGCACAATGGAGTTCTAGTGTGGTGCTACAGGATAATGTGTGCTGGACCTCAAGGTCAGTTTCAACTAAAGGTGGGCGGTTCAAACTCACCAATCACTCCTAGGAAACTCTATACAACGTCACTATGAGTCAGAAGTGACTAGACGGCACTTAACAACAACAGAATAATATGAAAATGTGCCAGAGCATTTACCAAGCTAAAATAATTCTCATTCAAACCTGACTGTCCTCTTAAAAAATACAATAATTCTAATCAAATACTATTCCGTTGAATCCAAGTATAAAACATAATAGTAGTTTGTGGTGAAATAAATATTATTTTTATTTGATTCATCAAATCAACAGGTTAGATGAGAACAATGTCACCCTGATAGAGTTTCAAAAAGCATAAAATTGAATTCAACAATTATTTCTGCCTGAATTTTTTAATAACAAAGATGCAAATGATCAGCTATTTGATAACAATAAATATATATTTAACTTTAAACAATATCCAATCAAGTGCTTCATAATAAAATGTCACATTGGAAGAAACTAATGATATGAAACAAATGTGTATAAATGGTTTCATATGGTAAAACTAATTTACATTGCAAACCTTCATCCAAACCACAACTTAAAAATAAAAATGGGAAAGAGGGATCTACCAGTATTTGAAAGTGATAACATTATGTATGTGGAGAATCTTTAAAAAACTGTGATTAATTGTTGTTCAGTGCCGACTTGTTGATTGCAACTCAAAGAGACCCTGTGTACAACAGAACAAATCACTGGCAGGTTCTACACCATCTTCACAATTGCTGTTATGTTTGAGCCCGGTGTTGTAACCACTTTGTGAATACATCTTGTTGAGGCTCTTCCTCTTTTTGCTGACCCACTGCTTTATGAAGCATGTCTTTTTTCCAGGAATTGGTCCCTCCTGATAGCATGTCCAAAGTATGTGAGACAAGTCTCACCATTCTTGCTTCTAAGTGAAATTCTGGCTGTACTTCTTTCAAGACAGATTTGTTTGTTTTTCTGGCAATCCATAATACTTTCAATATTTTTCACCAACACCATAATTCAAGACAACTATATTAGAAATGAAAAACTGTTAGTATTCCAAGAGAATTTTCAAAGACAAGATTTTTAAATATTAATAAAAGTACAGTAGTTTTACTATATGCCCATAAAAATGGATTTTTTAAAATATATGTATCATGTAGAAAAGAGTCCATTCATTATTACAAGGTCAATATAACATCTTCAGGATTAAATTTAACAATAAGTACTTAGAACCCATAAGAACAAACCAACTAAATAGAACTAAATTACATAAAATATGCTTAAAGAAGAATGTACTCATTAAGCATGCTTTCATCTACAAGTAACAGAAAATGTAATTAACAGAAACAAGAATGTTTATCATTAGGAAGCGGCCTCAAGAGAGATGGTTCCTGAGTTGGTTCAATAGCACAATAGAATCATCAATGATTCGGGCTTCATTTGCTATGCCATCCTCTATGTATTGGATTCATTCTCAGGTCTGTCCCTGATGCTGCAACTCTCAGCATCATGATCTTATAAAACACAAAACAAAGCTAAAGGAAAGGCTAATGTTAGGTTGGCCTGTCTTTTGTATAAATGGAATCATTCTAAATGACAGAGTTAGATATACTAAAAATACTCAATTCTTGATGAGGAAGTGCAGAAAACAGGCTCACATATATTGCTGGTGGGGAGGTAAACTGACAGTATCTAGTAAAGAGAAATCATATAACTATTCTAAGACCCCAAAATCACATTACTATATACACAGCAAGGATCCCTGGTAGGACCATGGGTTAAGCATTTGGTTTATAACTGCAAGGTTGGCAATTCAAACCCAACAAGTGCGTCACTGGAAAAAGATGAGGCTGTCTGCCTCCATAAAGATTGTTGTTGTTATTAGGTGCCTTTGATTTGGTAATGACTCATAGAGAACCTATGCACAACAGAACAAAACACTGTCCAGTCCTGGGCTAACCTCACAATTGTCACGCTTGAGCTCATTGATTCTGCCACTTTGTGAATCCATCTCGGTGGGGGTCTTCCTTTTTTTCTGTGACCCTCCACCTTACCAAATATGATATCCTTCTCCAGCGACTGTTCCCTCCTGACAATATGTCCAAAGTATAAGAGATGAAGTTTGGCCATTCTGACATCCAAGAACTGTGGCTGCACTTCTTTCAACACAGATCTGTTGGTTCTTTTGGCAACCCATGGCACTTTCAATATTCTACTCCAAAACCAAACAGAAATGAATCAAGTCTTCTACGGTCTTCCTTACTCACTGTCCAGCTTTAACATGCATATGAGGTTATTGAAAATACCATGGCTTGGGTCAGGCACACCTAAGTCCTCAAGCTGACATCTTTGCTTTTCAACATTTTAAAAAGGTCTTGTGCAGCAGATTTGCCTAATGCAATACATCTTTTGATTTCTTGACTGCTGCTTCCAGAGTGTTGATGGTTGATCCAAGAAGAATGAAGTCCTTGACAACTTCAATCTTTACTCGCTTGATAAGAATGTTGTTTACTGGTCCAGTGGTGAGGATTTTTGTTTTCTTTACATTGAGATGCAATCCATTCCGAAGGCTGTGCTCTTTGATCTTCATCAGTTAATATTTTAAGCCCTCTTCACTTTCAACAAGCAAGGTTGTATCATCTGCATATCGCAGGTTGTTAATGAGTCGTCCTCCAATCCTGATGCCATGTTTTCCTTTATATAACTCAGTTTCTCAGATTATATACTAAGCATACAGATTGAATAAGTATGGTGAAAGAATACTACCGTGTCGCACACCTTTCTTAATTTTAAACCACTCAGTGTTCCTATGTTCTGTTCAAGCAACTGCCTGTTGGTACAGGTACAGATTCCTCATGAGTACAATTAAGTGTTCCAGAGTACGCATATTTCGCAATGTTGTCCATAGTTTGTCATGATCCACACAATCGAAAGCCTTTGCGTAGTCAATAAAGCCCAAGTAAACATCTTTCTGGTATTCTCTGCTCTCAGCCAAGATCCATAGGACATCAGCAATGATGTCCCTCGTTCACGTCCTCTTCTGAATCTGGCTTGAACCTCAGGAAGTACTCTGTCAATGTATGCTTGCAGACATTTCTGTATTACTTTTAGTAAAACTTTACTCGCATGGGATAGCAAAGAGATTGTCCAATAATTTCTGCATTCCGTTGGGTCACCTCTCTTTTGAATGGGCACAAATGAGCACAAATATGGATCTCTTCCAATCAGTTGGCCAGATAGTTGTCTTCCAAATTTCTTGGCATAGATGAGTGAGTACATCCTGTGCTACCTCACTTTTTCAAAGATTTCAATTTTTATTCCATCAATTCCTGGTGTCTTTTTCTTTGCCAATTTCTTCAATGCACCTTGGACTTCTTACTTCAGTATCATTGGCTCTTGATCACATGCTACCTCTTGAAACAACTGAACATTAACCATTTCCTTTTGGTACAGTGACTCTGTGTATTGCTCCCATCTTCTTTTGATGCTTCTCTGCATCATTCAATAATTTGCCCAGAGATTCCTTCAATAACAAAAATCGAGGCTTGAATTTTTTCTTCAGTTCTCCCAGCTTGAGAAATGCTGGCCATGTTCTTCCATTTTGGCTTTCTGA